TTTTTTTCCCCAATTTTCTTTTTTTATTTCCCAGCCTTTTTTTATTTTGGGATGTTTTTTTGGGTGATTTTTTTTTTTTATTTGGCGAATTTTGGTGTGATTTTTGGGGTGAATTTGGTGTGAATCTCGGTGTAATTCGGGCTGATTTCTGGGCAGATTTTTGGGTGGAATTGGGCTGTTTTTTGGCAGATTTCCGGGCAGGTTTTTGAGTGGAATTTGGCCGATTTCCGGGCAGGTTTTTGGGCGGAATTCAGCGTTTTTTGGCAGATTTCCCGGCAGATTTTTGGGTTGAATTGGGCCGATTTCCGGGCAGGTTTTTGGGCGGAATTCAGCGTTTTTTGGGCAGATTTTTGGGTTGAATTGGGCTGATTTCCGGGCAGATTTTTGGGTGGAATTGGGCTGATTTTCGGGCCGATTTCCGAGCAGATTTTCGTGTGGAATTTGGCCGATTTCCCGGCAGGTTTTTGGGCGGAATTCGGCGTTTTTTGGCAGATTTCCGGGCAGGTTTTTGGGTGGAATTGGGCCGATTTCCGGGCAGGTTTTTGGGTTGAATTTGGCCGATTTCCGGGCAGGTTTTTGGGTGGAATTGGGCTGATTTTTGGCAGATTTCCGAGCAGATTTTCGTGTGGAATTGGGCCGATTTCCGGGCAGATTTTGGGTTGAATTGGGCTGATTTTCGGGCCAATTTCTGAGCAGATTTTCGTGTGGAATTTGGCCGATTTCCGGGCAGATTTTTGGGTGGAATTGGGCCGATTTCCGGGCAGGTTTTTGGGCGGAATTCAGCGTTTTTTGGCAGATTTCTGGGCAGATTTTTGGGTGGAATTGGGCCGATTTCCGGGCAGATTTTTGGGTTGAATTGGGCCGATTTCCGGGCAGATTTTTGGGTTGAATTGGACCGATTTCCCGGCAGGTTTTTGGGTGGAATTTTTGGCAGATTTCCTGGCAGATTTTTGGGTTGAATTGGGCCGATTTCCGGGCAGGTTTTTGGGCGGAATTCAGCGTTTTTTGGGCAGATTTTGGGTTGAATTGGGCTGATTTTCGGGCCAATTTCTGAGCAGATTTTCGTGTGGAATTTGGCCGATTTCCGGGCAGGTTTTTGGGTGGAATTCGGCGTTTTTTGGCTCACCGCGGGGCCGGCAGCGGCGCAGGCACTCGTGCCGGTCGCGGTGGTTGTTGGCGTTGCCGCGGCAGCCGCCGTAGGTGAACTCCCGGCACGATTTCTCCGCCGGGACGTAAAACCAGCGCGGGAAGGCGGCGCGGCACGGCCCCGGCACCGGCGGCGCCGAGCACAGCTCTGGGGAAAAAAACCCCGAGTTTGGGGAATTCGGGTCAAAATCCA